TTTATTCAAAATAATAAGTTGAATCAAACGTTCCTGTTTAAAGATAAATTTTATTTTATTTTTTATGACTGAAAATAATTTGATATCTTAATTTATAGTTTAAACAACATAAATAATTCATAGGATGAATTCATTCTTTAAAAATAATGTTAAGTTAAAAAATAATAATAATATTTTAATCTATCCACTTAAAATTTTGAAACAAGTTATTTTTGAATTTAATAATTAGATATCTTTTCTAAATATATATTTATATTTAAACAATTCTGCATATTTATTCATTAAACTGAATTTTCTATAATAAACATAAAAATTGTTATGATCTTATCGTTTATCACAAAGAATTGTTTAATTAAAAGTTAAATTTTGGTAAATTATTTACAACTAAAAAGAATATCTCTTCAACACATTAATTTTAAACACAAGTATATATACCAAAAATGAACGAAATGGTGTAAAAACTCTGGGTTCAAAGTTAGATTTTGATAAATTATATTTTAGGACACGTATATTTTTAACTATAATATCTAAATCCAAAAAACTGATCCATTTTAAACCAAACATTGTCAAAATTAGCGGTTTTTCCAAAGTATTTCTTCAAAGTTAGATTTTGCTAAGGTGTTAACTCTGGGTACTCGAGATACCCAGGATATACCGGGTATACAGGGTCCTTGGAGAACATAATAAGCGCACAGAACCTTCCGCCAGGAAATATTTTCTCAACAAGATCGTTTTCTCATGTTTGTCTTCAAGCTATAACAGGCAAGATTGTCGTCTTCGGTTTTTTTTAATTGATTTTGTCTTGGTCATTTCCTTTTTTTGAATTTATTTAATTTACACTTTAAACTTATTTTTTTTTAAAATATTTCTATTATTTTCTTTTATCTTTGTTTGCAAGTTTATTTACCTGTTATATTTCTTATTTTTTCTACTCTTTTCTTTTCACTTATCATTTATTTTATTATAGGTTTACTTTTAGGATCTTTAAGTTAAAATGCTGTGAAAACTTTTGTTAAACCAGATGTTGTAGCAATTGCTACTTTTGCAAGTTAAGGGTGGCAATTGCTACTCTAAACTGATTGTCAAAATGCCCGGATGGATGTGGTGTAATTGTTGCTTTGGAAGACCCAGAGTAGAGAGAGGTAGAAGACGACATTGCCTTCCTTCTTCTATTTTCCAAATATTTACTACCTCCAGTTTTTTATTAGAATTATATCTAAACAAATTTGAATGATTTATTTTTTATTTTTAGGTAAGTCGACTAATATCAGATTATGCTGTATTTTCTAAACTGCAGTTTAAGCAGAAAATATTAAATGTCATCGAAACATCTAATTGATTGGTGAGTAAGGGTAATTTACGTAAACTTTATATCTCCCATCCCGTCTCCCGTCCCTCGCAGGGGCGGACACAGGGGGGTGGCGGGGGGACATTCGCCAGCCCCTGACAGATTCAGGGAGGGGCGTAGCCCCCCCCCTGAGATTTCGAGGCAAAAAATGTTCCCAATTTGATAAATCGTATGTGTTTTTCAATTTTAAGCTATTTGATTATTTTTTATTTAATGGAAATATAATAATTAATATTTATTGAAAAATTGAATGATCAGAAGAGAAGGACGAAAAAATATTTTTCTAACTTGTTAAAAATAAATATAAGTTTATAACCAACGATGTAAGTATACGACGACAGACATTGTGTTTTGTTTTATTGGTACGCGGCACACTGCACATCTTGAGTCTTTTCTTCAGTTTAATTTAAAAATCAACGACAACAAGTAAATGTTATTGTTAACGATAAATTTAGAATTAGAAATTCGTAAGAAACTAGTAATTTCTTTTTGTTCTTAAATTGCTAATGTTCCTATTATTGTTCCTGTTCCTAATACTGTGTCCGACCCACCTGAAATCCCTGTCCTAATCCTATATTTTTGTTCCTTATTCCTGAACAATCTTTTTATTGTTCCTAAATTCCTGTCCTAATCCTTTAATTTTGTTCCTAATTATCAATTTTCTTTGTTCCTAAAAAATCTTGCCCCTCCCCCCCCTCACTTAAATCCTGTGTCCGCCCCTGGTCCCTCATCAGGCCCTTTCCCTCTCCCCTCCCACAAATTAAAAAAGACATACAACTAGCAAACATGTCTGTGGGAAAAAATAGAGTTTTGTTTAAAAAAATGAGTTTTTTTTTAACCTTTTTAAACCTTAGGGTACTCGAGGGATCCCTCAAAAAATTTCAGCCCATTTGGTCCAACTGTCCAGATATAGCTTTATTATATAGATAAAAAATAAAAACGTTCAATAATTCTTAATATTTGACGTTGATTGTTTTTTATAAATAGAGAGAGAATAGAAATCCATTAACTGTTATATTGAACTACAGTCGCGTTTATTGGAAGTTGTCTCGGGGGTGGAGAGGGCTCAGCAGCCCATTGGGGCGTGAAACCCCCTTAGAAATCACTAGATTTTACTGCCCAGGGTTGGACTGCGCCCCCATACCCACCCCCCTTATACGCCTCTATTAAACTAGTAAAAGCATTTCGAAATGACTAACATTGTATTCGAAATTCTATGGTAAGGTAAGGCCATAAGAGAATGTTGTACCCAGAATACACTAAATTCTGTAATATACAAAAAGCTCATTTTCGGTGGCTCTACAATGTATATTAGTTGTTTGTAAACAACCGAAACTAGACTTGAACCGAAACATGAAATTGAACCCAGTATTCAAACCTTAGTCGCAGTCCAGAGTTATAAAGTTACATATATAAAGATGAAGCGAGGTAAATTAATTCATTATATTTAAGTATTTATTAAAGCCCCCTTCCCACCTTTCATGTCGAAACTCTAAATCATTGTTTCGACATAAGCCTATTTAAATTATTTGTAAACATACCGCTAAACCAGATTTTAGCCACCGAAACCGAGTTCATAGTGTACTCAAGACTAAATTTGTGTACAGTAAATAAATTCTATTAAGGCCCACTCTTGCAAAATTCTAAACAATAAGTTAGGGATATCTCACAGTATAAAATTAGTAATTTAGAGCAAAATGTTCGTTTTATTTTAAATGTTTTTAGTAAGCTTGAAATAACGAATAAAATTATATCAGTGCATAATATCATTATGATTACTTTTAACAGTGTATAATATCATTATAATTACTTTGATCAGTATATCATATCATAAATGACGATATTATTAAAATGTTGTAAAGCAAGATCTATGAATTTACAGAAGCCATATTCTATCATTAAGGGTCAAAGTTAAATCCTAGAGAGACATGTCAGATTTACAAAGGTACTCTTTCATGAGTAATAGTTATATTTCCTTCATTGCCTCTTTTTAGAGAAATTACAGATAAACACTCAATTTTTCAGCTATAAAAATAAGGATTTATCTGTCAACACTTATCATACTTTGGTAGATTGGACAATGGACATGTCACTCTGTGAACGTCATTTGAAAATACATCTACATCCCTTAAAGCATAATTTAATAATCAGATCAGTCCTCGGAACTATAACATAAAAAAGCATATTTGAAAAATATATGAATAAATAAATTAAATGAAATTTTCATGCCACTATCTGACATATCTATCTCACACAATCAAAATTATCACAACATCCGCAAAAATCGTCTGTCCAACCCTGATCAGTTGGGGGAACTATAAATATTAAAAAAATATTTTTTTAAATTTAAAATTTAAAAGTTTGTAATTACGAAGTTTCTTATTTCTCTAGTATTACTGGAGACTGTTGAAGCTGGTTCAGCATTTTAGAAACTCCTAATTTTCAAAATTTTTTGCATGAGTACTTGGGAAGGGGTTGGGGGGGGGGGATTCCTCTAAATTTTGTCTCAGTCTAACTGTGAACGGCCGAGGGTAGAGGAGAAGGATTATATTAAAGGGAAACCTGAATTTATTTAGTATTTTAGCAAATCTTGAAACTATGTTAAAGGGACTGTAAACGTAATGTTATGGGACCCTTCATTTACAGAGTGGTTCGTTAGATTCATTAAGGTACCCTCAACACCTTTTTACTGAACAAGAGTGCACAAAATATTCATAATTTTGCTTTAAAAACTAGTTATTTTTTAAATGGGATTTCTATCTAAAAGTATCTTTTGGGTTTTCTGCTCTATAAACATGAGATCTTTAAGGTGGACAGGTTACCCTTGATATTCGAACATGCCCATCTTCAAATGGAAAGTTTCTTGATTTTAAAACAAACAATCCCTTGAATGAAGAAGACTTGAACAGATAGGATCATGTTTTTATAATTCAATTTTATTCAAATATATTATCTTCAGATCACGTTTAAGTTTACAAATCACATCAGTTTTCTTACCACCTGGACTTTGTACTTTGAATAAAGATTGTTTATGCTAGGTCGAGGGGAGGAGGGGGGAGAGCTTGTCAACATATGCAGAAAGTTAAATCCCTTCATGATGTGTCCTATAATCTATTAAAACGTCTAAGCATGCAATGGATTACATCAGAAAGAAAATTAAAAGGGGGGAACAAATGTCAATTTTTTTTTGTTGCAGCAAAAATAAAGCATATTTTGAAGAATAAAAAAGTTGAGTTAAAATCCTCCCCTGTCCCCATAAAAATAAAAAATCACAATGAATGAAGAATTTTTTGATATTTTTTCATTGCATGTTTCTAAAATAAAATGCAGTAGTTTCCAATCCAGGCTTTTCATGCATTAGCTACAAAGCGGCCTAACATTTTTATATTTTAAAACTTCTAAATTTGAAACTAAGCATGAAATACAGCCCTTTACAGTGTACTGTAAACTGCTATCCTTCACTAATATGTGGTGCTAATTTTTGTCATAATGTCTATTCCTCATTATGTTGTTCTTTTAAAGAAGCTTTCATTCTTTCTATGGTGTTCATAAAACTTTTTTAAAACATGCTTACTGCTTGTTTGTAATTATAAAAATGTATTAATATCAATGCCAAGGCCTACAGTTTCGAATAGATAAGGAAACAAGCGAAATCTTCAATGAATATCAAAACGGATTTTTCAAAGTTCATCTTATCTTATTTTTAAATAATAAAAGACTAAATTACATGAAGAAACCAGATGTTTTAGCAGAGTTTGAAAAATTCAGTTGTTTATCAAATGTTGTCGCAAGAACATTTCTATAATATAAGATTGTGCATACTTTAGATATAAACATAAGCTTTATTTAAATAGAGGGTTATTAATTTTTATTTAAGTGAAATCAGGTTTAATTTCTAAGAGTCAAAATACAGTGATTTAAAGTGAAAATGTTGTAAATAATAATGGATGAGCAAACAACTAATAATCCCAATTTGTATGGGTTTAATAGTTCTCCTGTCCATAACTCTAACCCAACCTCATCACCTTTTTGTACGAGAAATCCAATACTTGCCAGTCAGAACTTCAGAAGTAGACATTTATACCAGTCAACTGATTCTGCCAAAAATGATCTTAAAGACCATGATTACAAACACAACTCATCATATTTGACATTATCCCCTCAGACATATGGAACTTCTTCCAGGACAAGATCTTACAGTACTCAAACATTAACCGGTACCATCACTCCAAGAAGGGGATCTTTCAGCAGGGGAGATTCTACCAAAGATGATCTAAATGATGATGAGCCTAAACATAACTTATTGTATTCACCGACATTATCCCTTCAGACATATGCAGCTTCTTCCAGGAAAGGATCTTACAGTACTCAAACATCAACCGGTACCATCACTCCAAGAAGAGGATCTTTCAGCAGAAGAGATTCTAGCTGTTCACTTCCCTGCAGCATGTATGCAACAGATTCATTGTCCAATTGGAAGGAATATCAACCAACAAATGATGTATACCTTCTGAGTAAAGCATTTGATAACCTCATCACTGAAGGACATTCTGGAAGAAAGATCACACTAGACATAACTAGGAAAGATTCATCAAGTTCAGGTTATAACACTGATAGAAAAGATTCTTTTCAAGATTATGAAAGGCAACAAAGTTTACTCTCTCCGCAGTCAAGTCTTGACCTTGGATGGAGAAATGAATCCTTTCCTAGTTCTCCTCTATGCACCAATCCAAGCTCTCCATTTTTCAATAGCTCTGGAAGCCAGTACAGAGTAGCTGATCAGTTCTGTCCTCAACCCTACAGGAGCAGAAGAAATTCTTATTCTTCACTTCCTTCATCACATCTTCCTTATCCGTCAGCATTTCTTCCAAACCCATCTCTTCCTCCATTATCTCCAACAATGTTTGGATCCCAGCTTTCATTGAACTCTCCCAGTCAGAGACACAGGGAACTAATATCTTAATTTATCAAAGGCAAAAGTTTTAAGAAAGAAAAAAATGTTTTACCAATGTCAATCTTTCAGCTTGACTCTTTTTTTGCAATTTGTGGTGACTAATTTTTCATTTAATGAGCTTGAATTTCCCAGTCAGATAGGAAGTATGAGTTATCAAAACAGCATGCAATGGGTTCAACAGTTCAAATAATTATGACTAGGGGTAATGATTTCAATATTTTCTCGTTTTAACAATATTATGATTAGGACTGAATTTAATTTATGACACCCTTTGAAAAGTAAACAAAGAATATTGTGATTAAGACGAGTATCTTCTGGATCCTTATATCAAGCTCGACTTGATCGAAGTAACTACCTCAAGTTCACTATGGCTAACCTTAGATCAGCCAAGTTCTCTGCAGGTAAATATAGTTTTAATACTAACTAATTTCTAGAAATCACTCATTTAAATCTATTTCTCGTTCTAGAGAAATGATTTTTATTTTGTCACATAAGTAAGCTTTCAATTTCAAACATCTTGAACATTTTTAAGATTTTATTTAAAATTTGTAATTCAAAATCTTTAATAGTCGTTAAGCAATGAGATCATACATACAAAATACATTTAAGTTCATAAATCCATCACTGTTCCTCCCCCTCAATATCTATTTGTTGGCTTTGTAGTAAAAGTGACACAATAAAAAATCCTATAATCCTGAGAGTGTCAAGATTTTAATGATTTATGAAAAATGATATCATTGATACTTCAAAACTTCTCAGGAAGATTTTCGTATCAGTATTTTCTCCATATCTCAACTGTGCTGATGAAAGGGATTGTCTAAAAATAATAAAAGGCCCAGTTTTTTTTTTTTTTTTTTTTTGAGCAAAAAATAAAAAGTATACTAACAAAATTCAAGTTATTTCCCCAATTTAGCAACAAAAAAAAAAAAAATAAGATTTTTCCTTTGAACTTTGTATTTACACAATTCTCCGTCATATTCAGATAATTTTAATTCAAATAAACAGGAAATATAAATGTTAGAATTAAGATTTATTATAATTTGATCACACATAACACCTTAGTCAGGGGCATAAATCTTTTGGGGGTGGGCTTTAGGGACTGAGCCCTCTCCCCTTGATTAGTTAATTCAATGGTTTCCATTATGTAATCAGTCCCCAACGGATGATAAGCCCCCTGGAAAGATTAAAAATGTTAAGACTCCCCCCCCTTGATAAACCCTGCGTACGCCACTGACCTTAGTTAAGCACAAAAAACTTAGGGTGGGGGAGGGATGATGTAAAATTAATTTCATTCTAATATTTGATTTAAACAATTTTTTTGGAAAATGGCCCCAGAAAGGAAGAAAACTTAAAAAATATAGAAAAAAATTGTTCTTAATGATAAAATATTCATTATTTTATTCACTTTACAGTCCCTTTAATATTTGTTTAGTATTGATAAGTTTATTACTAAAGGATCATTCTCAGTTCTCACCTTTACCTCAAGCGTATAGGATCATACAATAGGATCATACATATAGGATCATATACATGTGAAAACATTAAAAATAATTGAATTGAAGAGATCTTTGACACCAGACCTTAAATGTTTGAGAAGTGCCAGTGTTTTGTCCGAGATGCGACGGTATTCCGTTCAAGAACCTAGGCAACAAGATGTTTCTTTCTTTTCTTAGCGCTTTAAAGGGAGTGACCGGCAATGTATGGTAGTTAAACTGAGAATGTAGTATTGTGGAGAAATTTTTTAGGAATCATTTGAGACCTATGAGAGGTTTTTACGGTGCATATTTGTTTAACAAAAGCGCAAATTCAATCTTTAAAATCTTTAAAAGATTGTTCATTTTTGAGGGATGAGAACAGGTTGAGAAAATAAAAATTAACTCTTATCATCGAAAATAAGTAATCTTATTCAATTGGTTTCTGTAATGTCGCATTGTTCACAAACATTTTCTGTAGATTTTTCATGGAATTTTTAAATGAAAAGACAACATTTGAAGAATTTGAAAAATCTGCGAACACATTCATAAAGAATAAGAAATGCAATGTAATGAGAAAAAAGAAAAAATTGATTCTAACATTGATTTTTTTAGAGAAAATTTTAATTGAGAAATATGTTCCCAAACATCTAATTAGTTTACTTGATTTTTTTACATTTGTTGTCGTCGTTATTTAATGATAAAGGGGTCACTCCCTCTAAGAATGTTTGTCACACTTTTAGGGTGTTATAATGAATAATAAATTTAGTTAAGCATGTATCATGAATTGAAAATCTATTTTTACTACTAATTTCCACAATAAAAATTTTTCCGTTGCACTTTTCTGTCTTTACTTTTTTCAGACATTTATTATTAGCCTTGTGGGTTCTTTTTCTTTTCTTATTTATGTCTGTACAGTGAGAACCAGAAAAAAAGTGGAATTCTTATTGCTTCTGGTTTTTTCCTTCTTTTCAAAAAAAGGAATTTTTAACTGAACTTTCTTACAGATACATCATTATCACCATTTAAAATTTTATAGTAACTAGGATTTTAGGGCGCTTAGCGCCTATCATCTATTTTAATCGTGTTTCTCTTTGTTTACATTGTAACACAAAACAAAAAAATGTCGTGGATTTAAAAAATAAAAATTCGTGGATTTTTTAAATATTCAAAAATCGAATTTCGTAAGAGGCAAATTTTTTAAAATTCAATTTTTTTTTGAAAAATTGGGCCCAATCGGCTCAGCCGTTTTTACATTTATTGGATACAAACAAATAAACAAAGAATCAAACACCCAGTCAGACAAACAAAGTATTCTTTTGTAACAACAAGGATCCAATATTTATACTGGTTCTGACTGAATTACTAAAACATTTGATAGAAATAAAATTAAATCATGATTCATCTTTTAGATTCAAGACAAAGCTTGATTAAATAAATTGTTAAAAATAAAAAAAAGAAAGAAACTTTGCAGAACATTTACTCCATCCCCCTCTCAACGGAAATTCTCCGTGCTAAGATCCGGTTCTCCTTTCCTTGCCGAAGAGGCAGGGAGCGGACCCGGGAAACAAAGACGACTTTCAGTAATCCTCTCTAAAAGTCGGCCAGGTACAACAGAATAAGATTAAAGGGTCTGTCCTCTCGTAGTTCTTCAAGGATCCCCCCCCCCCCAACCAGCCCTTTTAGCAATAGCAACCTCCCATGATAATACTAATTCAGTTCAGTTTATGCTAAGATAGAATGCTCTAGTTGACGGAAGGGTCCAGAGGCGCAACTAGGACTTTTGCTAGGGGGGGGGCAATGTATTATTTGGTTAGGGTTGGGGGGGTGGGTTAAGGGGGGGTTTCCCCCCCTTTTTCGAAAATTTTTCAAAAACATAAGTGCTTTTTTAATGGTTTGAAGTCGAAAAAAAGGAAAGTTTAAGTTGTTGCATGCAGATTTGGCTGTGTTCAATTCAAATCGATTTTTTGTTCTTGTGTTTTTACAAAATTTAAACTTCCAACAGCTGTAACATGAATGATATGAGTCAATTCATTGAATATGTGTGCGAATCGTAAAGAGTATTTTTTAAGTACCTGGTTTAATTACAGATTAAATTGCAAGAAATAATCACTTATAGTTTCTGGGAAAAAAAACATAAAAATACATAGGTAAATAATAATTTCAATCATCTACATTGAAAAAGGACAGATAATGTTACCTTTTCTCTTGAAGTTATTGAATTAATGATTGATCTAACCAACATTCATAATCTAAATTCATTTTCGATTTTACAGAACTTCTGTCAAAGAAGATAAATCTTGTTTGATATCAAATATGATAATCAGTTCAGGTTCAGAATTTTCTCTAGATTTGGAACTGAGTTTTTGCCACAAACTCAAATATTGTAATCCCTAAATCTTTGCACCGAGTGGTGTAAACATTTGATATTTCAAACTTGGAATATTTTACCATAAAGAATTCAAAGTTTGATATCTTCGAGTACTCTATAAACTCAACACAAATAGAATACAGTTCAGAACTTTTTTTTACATTAAATGTTTACAATAGCCTTTAGCCGTGAGAATTGAGAAAGATAAAAATATTCTTTTTAAAATTAACTATAGTATAATGAAATTTCTTCAATAATTATATTGTTTTTCTTATTCCTGTGATACTGATTTTCGCCATTCTTTCTTTTAATTCTGCCGGGGGGGGGGGGGCGCCCCCCCCCTCTCAGGTGCTAGGGGAGGGCGCGCGCCCGGCCCCCCCCCTTGTTGCGCCCCTGGAATGGTCCAGGGAACATTTAATAATAATAACCAATATTTTATCGCATGGTAGTAGAGGAGCAACTGGGGTATTTTTCTGGGAGAGGGGCGGGGGGCTTTATTTGAAAGAAAATGAAACTGTAATTTATAAGCTAATTTGTTATAATGATTATATTTTTTCGACAAAATCATGTTATTTTAGCCATTTGCCCCTGCTTTTGACAATTTTTTGAGAAAAATCACCTAAGCATTAATTTCCTTCCTTTTGCAGACTTGTTGCCAAATAACAAACATTTTAATCACATTTTTAAGATATTTGCTATAAAAATCAACTTTAATATCAAAATTTATGACACCGCTGGGATTGTAGGATTATCAAAAAAGCTTAATTGAGAAATAATTATTATAATTTATTACTTTATGTTAATTAACTAAATTGAGATAATAAATATGAGTGGGTACTGAAATACTTATATACTAGATATATACTTTTTATAATAGTTTTTAAATAGTAAGGTTAAACCATATTTTTTTCGACTTGAAAATAGATGAAGATAGATAAATAAATAAGTCTTTTGCAGAATATTGCCTTTTATTGAACCCTTTGCTGGTTAAGATTTGCCATTATAGTTATGTTTTCAATGGACTGTGTACAGTACATCGTATTCAGTTTATTTGTCAAAACAGTTCCTTATAATACATGTATGTCATCGTATCCTTATCTTTGTTCTTATCTTATTTTTATAATTCTTGAATTACTGGTTACTGCATTACTGGGGTTGTTCAGAATTATGGACGGGATAATTAATGAACTGTACTCGGGATTTCAAGTAACCCTCCATGCAAAGATTAAAATGTGGAAGATACTGTCGTTTTTCTGACTCGAAAAATGTTTTTTTTGTGAGTTTCCCCATTGCTTAAGAAATGCCCATTTTCACTGTTGCAGAAAAATCACAAATGAAAACAAATGGTTAAAAAACAACAACAAGAACAAAAACATGGCAATCTAATTCATACTCAATCAGACAAAGGTTTAATGTTACCTTTGTATATCGGGCATTGCTGTCATCTTTGCATGGAGGGTCAAATAATATTAAACTTACAATCTCTTTCTTTTAAAAGGGTGGTTCAGTTGGAAGTTGTTAATGAAAACGTGTCTCACAATCATGTCTTTTGTTTTGAACATTTTCCAGACCATGTCTATTGTCTATTTTCTTAAACAGCTATGTCCGTTTTTTTATCAGTTTTTTTTATCAGTCTGAAATATATTTTAATTGTTATTTTAAAATTTTCTCCCGCTTTTTTCTTATTTCTGGCGTAACGGAAGCCCGTGTGCATGCTTTGGAACATTTTCAGAATACGTCCTGCACAGTTGGTGGGGGGGATACGTCCTGCAGTGGGGGGGGGGGTCGGTTGGACCTAAATGAAGAGGGGGGGATCAGCTGTTCGCAGAGAGTCATGTTTTGGTTTGAGCTCCGGGTTCTTGTCGGAATCGAGATTTTTGTTCCGTTTCCCACGGACACCGACGGAAGGGAAGTCATTTTTGGATTATTATTCTTAAATATTTAATTTAAAGTAAATTTTACGTTACATTAAAGTCTTACAAGTTTTTAATCATAATTTCTCTTGTTGAAAAGCTACTAGGGAGAACATTTCGAATTTCTAGTATCATAACCAAATAAATTATTTTTTTTCTCAAATCAATTGAGATTTTGCCACAACCTTGAATTTTCTAAAATCTTTAATTAATTTTAACATCGCATAAACCTGACCTTCTCTCTCTGGTTAAGTATCATAACATAAAAGACATAAAAGTATGACAAATCTTCTGCATAAATGTTCTCTCGGCATTTTATGAAGTCGATCTAATATAAAGTTTCAAAACAAACATTATGTTTAATTCAAGATACATTTTTATTTTCAAGTGCAATTATGAAACCGAACACCCCCCCCCCCCCCAAAGAGATAACAGACGCAATGTTTTTGTCGCAAAAAATGTGTGCAGAGATAAGGATTATATTCATCTTAGGATTAAAAAGGACCGATTCTAGAAAATTTAATATTTTTTTATTTAGTTTGTTTTAATATCAAAATAAACTGAGATAAAATTTCCTCGAATGAAGATACTTAAAAAAAATGAAATTGAAAAATGAAAATTACGATAAATAGGTTTTAAATCATTACGGGTCTATAAAAGATTAATTTTTTTTTAAAAGTCAAAATTATACTTGTTTGCAGTTATATTTGAAATTTTCCCGGTCGCCTTTAAATTCGCAAATTTTTTATAATTATTTCCCATTTATAAGATCTTCCCATAGTATTTGGGAGCCGGGGGGTGCCGGAGCTCTTGGGAGTTAACCCCGATGGTGGTCTGGGCTCTTAAGATGGAGGGTTTCAGATCCTATCTAATCTTATCTCATGTTATAAGATTGGGTCATATTTGAACTATAACTATTAACTCTGTAGCACTAATAATAATTGTTAATGATTTAAATAAGCTGCGAAATCCGTGTTTTTAGCTTTAGTTCGTAAACGAATGTAAATATTTCAATTCATAATTTTATCATTCTGTAAATAATATCAATTATCTTTTCATTCAGTCTCATAGGGACTTTAAACAAAATTCTAGGGACTCTCCACTTTTAGAGTGGCATGTCCTATTATGAACGGTACCCTCCTACCTTTATTCGGATACAGGATGAATGATTTATCCTCATTTTTCCAGCTGAAAAACATATTATTCTCAGTAAGAGTGACTTGGATATTTCAGATAGAAAAACACCAATATCTGCCTAAATTGATTGCTCCTCTAAGCTCAGTATTCTATAATGGCTCAGTCAAGAAAATGTCTCCGCCCTTTCAATAATGTTTAAGGGGGGGGGGTGCAGCCGGGGGACATTGACTTATAGGTTTAATAAGTATAGAATTATATTATTTTGATGTACGAGGGTTGAAAGATCTAGGCCCAAGATTCTAGAAGAAGTTCTGTGCCTATGCTTTTGTCGTATATGCATCTAAGCTACAAGTAGTACACAATAAGGAGACAAACTCTGAACCATGTTCTTTTTTACTGGCGTTTTTTAAATAGAAAAAAGAGGGGGAGGGAAGTGTCTAAGAATCCAGCCCCCCCCCCTGGCCACCGATATTTAATTTAAACTTTTTTTTACAATATCATTAATGCAAAAAAATACAGAGCTTAAGTTTCTCAATGTATAAAGCTCTGTAACACAATATACCATGCAACATTAATATTTTATTTTTTTGCTGGCAGGCTCTTAACTTTTCACTTTTCAACAGGTTCTTTGTATTAAATGATCTTTTATATGTAGGGTTACCCAGAAAGGATGAGACTGTAAAGACGACCAGAAACTCGTAAAATTTGACGATCCAAAGTTAAAATTAAGTCTGCTGTCTTAAATTTAGTATTTTAATGGATTATTTAGGGATTTTATAAAGAATGAAACAAATTTACAGTTGAAGGGAATCATGAATATAAAGAAACATATATACATACAGTTGTCTATGAAGTCTCATCCTTTGTGGGTAACCCTGTATACATAGGTGTAGCTTTGGTTTAAAAATGAGATTATTCATTTTCAAAATGAAACCATTCATCAGGCCCGTAGGAATGAATTTATAAATGGGTGGAGGAGGGGGTGCAAAAAATTTATAAATAGCATAGATAGATAAGTAAGAATCAAAATTAATGAATGCGACTTATAAACTAGATTTTTAACTTATCACACATTATAGTTTATTAAGATAGATATATGTTGCCTGTTTTCCTTACCTTAATTGCTAATGAATAATTGAGAAGCTATTTGCATCAAAACAAAAATAATTATATTTTATAACAATTTTCTTCCCTTTTTCATGTTTCATCCTTTTCAGTTTTTCATCATTTTTGTCCTTTGAAAGTGTGCCCCTCTTCTGGGGTAAAAAGGGGGCTGTGCCACCCCTTGCTACAGGCCTGTCATCCCTATAAAGAAAAATCCTTGAAAATGTTTAATTCTGTTAATTTCTCTATTGTTTCTGAAGCAAGTAAGGCTGAAGTTATTTATGAAGAAAAATAACTACAATAAAAATAAATTGATTTGTAATTACGTTCAAAAACATGGTTTAAAATGATCTAACATATTTTTTGTAATCCTTCTAGTTCTCTAAAAAATTATTATTTTGTAAAAAATATGTTACGAAATTGAGTTAACATATCTATTAAGAAATGATCTGCAAATATGATAATTTGAATCTATTAGATCACTAAGTTTAATTTTCCTGCTTCGGGCAACAACAAATTGATGAGAACGGGACTAAAATATTAAATCTGTTCAGAAACTAGCTCCACCTACGCAATTCCAACGCAACCTACGCACCTTACGCAGCTTATGTCATCCCTACATCTGCTGCAACAGTACATTTTTAAAAAAGAGTGATTACATTTTTTATCCTTTGAAAATTAGGGGAATTTCTTGATATAATTGTTTTCGTGCATTTCAGGTATGTAATTGATTGATTGATAGAGACCTAAACAAGTGGTGGTAATTGTTTAAATTGTCTCCATGTGTCCCCTCCTGTGTCCGAACCCTTCAGATTTATTTATATTGTCCTTGACGGATAAAATGGTTGAACAGGTGTAAACCTTTCATGTTTTGGTCCCGAAACAGGACTCTACGCAGGTCTCTCTCAGGCCTAATATGGGTTTGTGTATGAGGCAGTTTGCCTTCTCTACCCATCTGGCAGTTCTCTCCTTGGTTCAGCCACATTTACATCATCTAGTGTGTGCTCTAGTGTACACTGTACAGTGTAATAGTTTTCTTTCAATTTCCCGCCATTTTTTGGCGCGTTTTTTATCCTACGAGGTTGACTCCTCTGGCTAGCCATGTGCTACAACAGTGCAGGTAGATAATTTACTTAAATAAGTTAAGAGATGAATAATTTTAGTCTTTTATTTCAAATTAATCAAAAAAAATAAAAAATTCATATATTAATGTCTTCAATAATTAAGTTTTAACAAATGTCAAAAAAAATGTTAACCTTATCTTGATGATGGAATAAGCAGAAAAAAAACATATATTGACTTGTGAACAAATAAGAAAATAAATTTAGCACAGTAATAAAATCCATTTCAATTCAAGCCTTTCTTCTAAAAAATCTTTAAAGTTATTTATTTTTGAGTTTTTGAGATATTTGTCATAAGCTGGGCAATTAATATTTCGCCAGAATAAAGAAACTATTAATGTGTACTTCAACATTCATGCTAATTTCATTGCAAATTTTGTTATAGACACGCTGTAAAGCAATCATTGTGCCATAAAGTTTAATTGGATTTTCCAAAAAAAAATTAGGATATCATTAAAATTATTTTTAAAAATAAGTGATATTATTAATTTTTTTATTTCTGCCTTGTTTGCGTCAAGCCAAGTAAATGAAACTTTCATAAAATTATCTATAACAATAAAGAAAAGTCTTTGTCTAAAAACTGCGAACCAAAATAAAAGTTAAAAAGTTAATATAACATTAATCTCAAGTTTTTACTCTTGTTCATTCATAAAAAGTAACTCGAGTTTATAAAAAACTTTAAAAGAAAGTTATTTGTTTTAGTTTAAATTTACGTTTTATTGAATTTAAACTTTTTATTAGGTTTTTTTTTTGCCGGGGGGTAAGATAAAACATTAAAAATTCCCTCCCCTGAAATAAATATCGAAATATACATATAGTAAGGATCGACCCAAGGTATACATTTTCTTAATAATGAGCATGTACGTTTACCCAATAATGTACTTTTAAGATTAGGCAATCAGTAAAACATTATAACTTATCTTTAAACAACACCCACACGTTAATCTTTTACAGGGAAGATAAACAACCCTTTGAAAAATTATAATCCCTTACTTACATGGAGATTCTGTGTTGGATAATAGAGTTCAAACTAGTAATGGACTTCGAACAGGGCTGTTTATTGTAAACTGTGTTGTACATTAAACTTTTATGTACATTATCATGTACAGAGCTACCCCCTCCCATAAATAATAACAACTGTACATAAGAATAGATTTGATTGCTCTATTAAAACTTTTTTGTGTTTCTTAAAATATGATTTAAGAAAAAAGTTATCTAAACTTTGAGCATATCTCATGAAAATAACATTGTAAGATGGATTTAAAAATGTATGTTTGAACTGTAAGAGTGTGAAAAGTGTGTGTTTGCGTGTTGATGTCCATATAAGGAGTGTTGAGTGTGCAGGGATGAGATTTGGTTTTATAGATCTGGCGTTTATCTATCCATAGGCGTTTAGGGCAGGATCATAATTCATACACCCATCAATACACTGTTGATGATGTTGATGTTGGTGTTGTTGTTCATGTTCATGTTCATGTTCATGTTCATGTTCATGTTCATGTTAATGTTCATGTTCATGTTCATGTTCATGTTCATGTTCATGTTCATGTTCATGTTCATGTTCATGTAATGGTTGGTTCCACTTAAAATTGTATTCAATTTTTCATGATTTAAGCCGGCGCACAATTAAAACCGGTTTTTGGGGGTTTTGAGACGCGGCTTAAATTAATTAAATTCGGACACAGGTTTTACAAATTCTGGGTCAATCAACCGGTTTGGTTTGGACATACTATCGGGCTGAGCGCTGTAGCGTGGCTATATGAACTTTTGAATATACTAAAAGCCGATATTTAGTTGTAAACGTAATGATTGTATGTTTTTCTTTGTTATTTTTGAAGTTACACTCTTATGTATAATGCCAATTCAAAGTGCTGGTGACCCATGGCCTTTATAACTAACCTTGACATTTTTGGACTAAAAAAAAATATTTCAGGTTTTTTACCTTTTACCAACCTTTTTTATCATTTTTACAAACATCCCTAGCATCCTTAAAAACATTATAGTTTTTTTTTGATAAGCTGGCCTCGAAAAATTGGACTTTGATTATGTATTGCCACTTCATACCTTAACAACTCTAAGGCCTTTTCTAGGGGGCCGGGGGGGGCGGGGTGCTATATATGGATTCTCACCCACCGCCTCTATTGGGTTAAATTAATGATTATATTGCCATTGCTTCTAAATCAAAACCAAAGTTAAAAACAATTTTTTTCATAAACTGGCTTTAAATAAATTTCATCCTTTCAAAATTTGTATAATCTCATATTTCAAACAGTTCCACTTGTAGAGATAAAAAAATTGGGTTAAAAATTAATATAAAATTGATATAGGTTAAATCTTTACAGTTTTGATAAAACATGATAAAAAATTATGATTGTAGTGTTAAAAGCAACAACTTTCAGGCTAGCAACGTCAAAACAGTTCAAGATTCACCAGTTTTTACCAAAGTTACAGTAGCAGTTTTGAAAATTTCACCTTGACATTGAAACTTCTAGACGTAAAAGAAAAGTAATTAAAAGGATTTGTGTTCTCAATTTTTTAATTTTTTTAATGCATGGGGTAGGGCACATGAAGGATAAAAAGTCAGTTGGTGTATCAAAAATAGTGTTTTTTATTATTTAATCTACAGATTTAAGGTTTACAAATTTTTATTTATTATTTTTTTACGAAAGCGCCCTATAAAAAAATGTTTTGAACATATATTGAACCCAAACTAATCTTACTCGAAGATACTTAAACAGGATAAAATATAAATCTCAATTTAGTTCTTTAATATTTTATTTATTAGGACTGTATACTGAGTAAATTGTATTTGTCTACCATGAACCCATATTTTAAAATATATAAAGTCATGAAACAGCTGATACCGGGAAAATACCGGGTCTGTTTTTTACATTTTTCACACATACCCTTCTTGTTCCCCGCCGCCCCCCGCCCCACTCGCCTGCACCCCTCTACCATCTGTGTGCCTGTATCGCCTGTTTCGGTTCCGATTTCTCCCTGTGGTGCTCCGCTCTCCAAGTTTCCCATGTAGTTTATACCTCCACTTCGTGCTGGTAACTGCACTAGGAGTCAATCCGTCCTGCAAACCTAGGATCCGTCCTAGCCGTCCTGTCTTCAGCTTACAGAGGACAAAAATAGGACGTATATAACTTAATCTTGTGCTAGTGGTTACAGTGAACCCCGGAAAATCGGTAAAAATTGTGAAAATCCGTGAATTCAACAAGTTCTAGAGGATTTCTTCAGTTTTCATGGTTGAACAGTTTTGTATCTAGTCTACACTGTACAAAGGTTGCAGTTGACGCAGTTTATAATTAGGTTTTTGTCAAACACCGTCTAAAAATCCGTTGGTAGAACAGTCAGCTGTTGCAGTTAGTAACCGGATTAGTTTTTATTTTAAACTAAAGTTATATAAACGGATTAGCTTTGAGGAGCTTCAGCTATAGACATGACTCATGTTTCAAGTTCTGTTTAATTTAA